TTAAACAAAGGTAAATGTTGCATTATCATTATCGCATCTCGTTTCTAAGTATTTATCTAAGAGAAATGGAAATTTGTTTATTCAAATACCTGCATAAATTCTTAACATAACATAATTGCAAAAATTGCCTTTTGGCTGGTCAACAGATAAAATTATGGTATATCTATACAGTGGAATACTAATCAGAAATAAAAGGTACAATATTTAGCTATATGTGGCATCATAGATGAATTTGAAATACAGAATGTTAAGTGAATGAGGCCAGGCTCAAAGCTGAATTATGAAAAAGGAAAAACCACAGAGACAGAAAGCAGATGAGTGGATATCAAGTGTTTGAGGTGGTAGGAGATGTGACTACAGAGGCATTAAAGAACATTCCAGCTTGTTAGGAATGCTAGATGCATTTATTATAGAGTTGGTAGCATCATGCACTTGTCAAAATATATAGAAGTGTACACCGAAAATCTTCCTATACGTTAAGTGAAATCACAATACATTGAAGAAACAAATTAGACAGGGGTTATGCTTTGAGTTAAGGGCCCTATTTCATTTTAAAAGTAAGCTGTTTATGTCTATGTTTTGATTTTCTAACAAGAAATTCTTTAATTCACGGTAGGCAAATAGTACAAGTATCATTAGTGGATATTAAATTTACATGGTAGGGAAACTAGCTTTCTGCAGAAATATAAAGGATTGTAGACTTTATTTGACTTTAATGACTCTATCTGTATTTAAGCTTTGCTTTGTCATAGGATTTAACTTTCTTAAATGTATATAAGTTTTGCCTGTATTTAAGTACACCTATGTCATGCAGTGCTCAGAGGCCAGAATAGGGCATTGGATCCCCTGGAACTAGAGTTACAAATCATTAGCTGCCATGTAGGTGCTGGAAACAAAACCTGAGTCCTCTGCAAGAGCAGCCAGTGCTCTTAATCACTGAGCCATTTCTCAAGCTCCTGCCCTGTGATTTTAATACTCATTTGATTCAATGCTGGACAATGACAAATCTACAGGGCAGAATAGGAATCTCCTTTTATAAGAGAATTGAAATTCTCTAATTTTTCCTTTTAATGTAAATTACATAATCAAGCAAATACATATGACTACAGCACAAAATAAATTAGAAAAATCATCCTAAATAAAATACATACATTCAAATGATTTCTCAATACCTTGGAATGGAAGTTTTATAAAATTCTTACCTTGCTGTATTTTAACACTTTATAATGTACAGTCAGTGGTTGTATACAAGTGCACATCACCAATCACAGGGATAAGGGGAATAAGTAGGAAAATATGCTCTCATGCAGACACTGGAAGCCTAAAGGCAGCCCTCAGTATTATATATTAGACACAGAGGAAAAGTTGTATAGGTATCCTGACGCTAATCTTTGAGGCATAAACCCCACCAGTGTTTTTGTAATTTGTCTCTAGTGGATCTACTCTACTCTTCTTTATTTCATGTTTCCCTTGTTCTGAAGTCACAAAATGTTTTTCTTAATTATTTAGGAAGTTCCAGAAATCAATAAGACCTAACTCCAGTTACAATTCATTAAATTGATGTTTCTGAAATCTCAAGGGCAATATAAAAGAATGTTGAGAAGAAACTGGAAAAATAAAGGTGTGTTTGAGATCCTTTAATAGGAAGTGAAGATAGGTTAGATACACATAGCCCACTTAAACACAATAAAGTGTTTACAAACATTTGAATGGCATCACCATGCCTCAATTCTAATCCAAGAATAGATAAAATAAAATTATATGATTGATTCTTCCTTACCAAAAGGGAATTTTAGAAATGTGATTTTTGGGGAAAAAAAAAAAAACTTTACTAGTTAAAAACAGAACCAGACATGGTGGCACCTGCCTTTAATCCCAGTACTTGGGAGGCAGAGGCAGGTGGATCTCTGTGAGTTCAAAGCCAGCCTGGTCTACATAGTGAGTTCCAGGCCAGCTGGGGTATAAGTAGACCCTCTCTCAAAAAAACCAAACCAAATAAAGATACTTTGACTTCTTCCTTTCCAAATCTATATCTTTTTGGTTTGTGGTATTACTCTTTATCTCCTTTATTTGTGTTATTGCTCTAAGCTAAGATTTCAGGTACCACATTAAACAGGAATGGAGAGATGGACATCCTTGTATGGTTCCTGATTTTATGGGGAATGCTTTCAGTTTTTCTCCATTTAGTATGATGTGGAATGTGGGCTTGTGGTATACTGTCTTCATTATGTTGAGCTATGTCCCCCGTATGCCTAGAGTCTCCCTGACTTTTATCATGAATGGACGTTGGATTTTGTCAAAGCCTTCTAATGAGATGATCATGTGGTTCTGTCCTTTAGTCTGTTTATGTGGTGGATTACATTTATTGATTTACGTATGTTAAACCATCCCTACATTTTTGGGATGAAGCCAAAATGATTATGGTAATGGATACTCTTTGTGATGTGCTCTTACATGTGGTTTGTATTTTATTGAGAATTACTACTATGTTCATCAGAGAGGTTAGTCTATAATTTTCTTTTTTTTGTTGTTTGGCTTTGCTTGGTTTTAGTATTAAGAGTAATACTGGCTTCATAGAAGAAATTTGGGAGTGTTGGTTCATTTTCTATTTTATTAGTCCTTTGAAGATTTGGCAGAATTCTGCACGGCATCCATCTGGTCCTGAGCTGGTCTGCTTCCTAGGATGGAGCCCATACCTGATACTGGCATCAGACTTAGGAATCTGAGGCTACATAGGGTACAGGACATCGGCGAGAACCTAATACTAGTTTTCTACTAAATAGTTATATTAAACTGACTCTTGATGCATCTAACAGCTCACAGCAGAATCCTAATTCTGGTCACTTTATCAGCTATAATATTTTCTATTCCTGGAATAGCCTTGAAAAATGACTTAACTAGTTAGTAAAAGAATTGGCATCATTTGACTAATATTATTGAACTAATTCCCACTTGACTTTTGCTCTTCTTCGAAATGCGTCAATAAATAATTCCTACCTAGAGAAGGAACAACTGCTTTCTATCTAATCTTCAGTTTCCACATTGACTCAAGCCTTCTCTATCTCACAGGGTCATTTCCAAGTGAGAAAGTATGTTAAAAACACTTTCATATGTAATGGAAATATTAGTTTTTTTGAATTGAAGACATAGCCAACCTGACACAATGATGTTAGGAATTAGACATATGAAAGTTCATGAATTTAAAATCTGGATTCTATCACTTAAAGGCAACATAATTCTAGGTCAATTATTCTCCCAAAAGTGGAGATACTGAAACTACCTTAAGGGGATGCTATAAGCATTAGAGAAAATGTATATAAAGTGCTTAATGTCATGTCATTCACTTACACTTTTGTTAAATCTATTAGGACTTAAAATGTGATAATTTAGGAATATGAAATATGGCTTCTTAGAAAAATAATACTCTACAAAGGACAGTCAACTGAAGTACCACTGTGTTACATAATCAAAATAGTAAATAAAGTGATCTTTTGCCAGGCATAAGAATGCTATGTGGGGAGATGGAAAGATGGCTCAGAAGTTAAGAGACTGGCTGCTTTTGCAGAGGACCTGGGTTTGAATCCCAGTATGTACATGGTGGCTAGCAACTGTTGCAACTCCAGTTCCAGGGGATCCTATGCCCGCTCTTGACCTCTGTGGGCACTGCATAACACGGGTGCACTTACATATATGTAGGCAATGTACTCACATGCATAAAAATAAAAATAAAATATTTTAGAAGAATACTATATGTAAAGATTTTGGCATGTGTTAAACATATTACTGTTTCTTTTATATGTTAGGCAAGGTATACTGTCAAAGCTTTTAAATAAATAGCAACTGAAAAAAATTAAAAAAGAAAATTCAATTATGTAGAAAAACAGATAAGCACAGTTCAAAAAGGAAAAACTGTTTCAATATGGAGACTTTGAAATTTGCTTTATCTTTCAAAAAGAATTATTTCTCTCAAAGGAAGTTGATCAGAGTCTAAATATAAAACTTGAACATAATTGAGTAGGGCAGGTGGAATAGCTCAATAGCTCAGAAGTATAGAGGCTACTTAGCATGCACAAGGCACTGGGTTTAATCCTTGATACAGACATACAGCCCCCCTCCAAACATACACACACGTGCAAAAGGAAAGGAAAAAAAATCAAACAATATGTGACAAAGTAACACAGCTTAGTATTTCTGTTTTTACAAACTGGTTCTAAGATTTCAATTGAATGTGACAAAGCAATGATTAGTGACTCAATATTCAAATTGCTTTATTTTATCAAATAACTAAAAAACGATATTCATTGGAGTCAGAATATTAAAACCAAGTCCTGCTTTTCCCTAGAAGGACACATTTTCCTCTTTTATGTTTCTTAGCAAAAGGAATCTAAAGCTTCAAAAGCAGGAGGAATGACCAACAACACTAACTCAGTCAATATCCACTATTCCAAAAGAATGTAATCTGCCGGCTATCATAAGATTGTCCATTTGCTAATATTCAAATAGCTAGTTCATACTAACCACAACCTAACCCTTTAAATACTTCCTCTAGCCAGGAAGTATTTTCACTTTTGATTTTCTGTGGTCATTTGCCATTTTCTTTCTTTCTTTCTAGCTTTTACCTCATGTGTTCAAAATAACGAATGTAAATGATGTTTGATCACCATACTGTGCCAAAGCAGAGCGTTCTGCCAATGCTGGTTAAGGTACTTCTGACCTCCAATGTGTTTAAACGTATGTACTAAATATGAGACCCAAATGAAGAAACACAATGAGGGCAAAAAAGATAAATGGAAAAAATGAGGCTAAGACATTTTCCCAATATAGTGACTAATACAAATTACTCTGAAAAAAAGTGATTTATTTTTGATAGAAGTATCAAGTGTAATTTCTTATGATTTATAACCAGGGTGTAAGGATTTTTATTTGAATGATGAAGATTTAAGTTTTGACAATGAAACAATAACACACTTTTCAAATTGACTGAATATATACTTACTTACATTTTTGAATAGTTGTTCAGCTAGTTCTCGAATGTGCTTTATCATCTTCAGTGGGTTACTTTCCTCAACTTTAATTCTCTCAACTTCAAAGGCTACCAACTTTGAAAAGAATCAGATGGCAAAATATCAATGCCAAAGTACACTGAATTTAAAAACATTTTCCTACAATTTGTAAAGCAAAAACCATATAAAATACGTATTTTTAAAACAAAGTAGTTTAGATTTGTACTGGGCTTCACCTCTATGCTGGGGTACAGAGGACTATCATACCCATGGACTGCTGGTGGTCCCGCCTCCATGACTTGGGAGCAGTTACCTCTGGAGCTTACAAATTAGAAAATACCCAGATTTGATAGGAATAATATTCAGATTACTTCATGCTTAATTTATAATATGCTTTACGATTTAGTTAAAAGTATGTGTTTTGCTTTTAACTATTAGTCTACACCTATAAATAATTTATTTGATAAGAATGATACCTCATCAAAGAGATCACAGGCCCTATAGGGAGGGCCTCTTTCTGAAACAAAGCCTGCAAATGCCATTCCATTGAGGACTTTAGTGAGGAAATCATTCTCAACCAAACCACGCTGACCCAAGAAAGCCGTCTGTAAAGCAAAAAAAAAAAAAAGTGAAAAGATAATTTATCATTTGGAAATGGACAAATGGTTAAAATAAAAATAGAAAAAATAGAAGTCTGTTTGAATGACTTTATGTATCACTATACACTGTTCTGAAGTAAATTTCTCTCAAAGGGTTTTTTTTTAATCTGATACCTGAAATACTACATATATAAAGAATAATGAAATAAAAATGAATAAAAATGAATCCATCTGTAAGTCAACAGGAAAAGTAGATATTAATAATACTTAACTCTAAAAGAAAAAAAAAATTCACGTTAACATACTCTAAAGGAAACCATGTCAGCTCTACAGTATCATTTTGTCATGTACCACACAAAGCAGAGACTCTAAATAATCACATTTGATAAATTAAGATCAATACAGATGCTTAGAAAAAAACAAGTTGTTTCATTAAATAAGAGTCCACTTAACAGATACAACATGGTACTGTATCTTACTTTGTGAAAATGTATTACTGGTTCAGCATGAATTCTTATAAGTTGTAGGCATGATCTATATCCTTGGAAAAGTTGTGCAAAGAACCTAAGGAAAACTGCTCGTACTTCTTTATCCTGAAAATGCAAGAAGAAATACATTAGGCAATTTAATTTCTTAAAAAACAAAAATTGTTAGAAAGACTGTCTGTGCTCTTGATGCTTGTCTCATTGTAGCAGTCCTAAGCAGTGAGCTTCCAGTCTACACCATTCTTGGGCAGTTTAGTCTGTTCTTTCTACCGAACCAAGGAGAATTTACCTTGACTATATACAATTTTCCTCTAGGGGAAAAAATAAGTAGTTTCTTCTTTTACCATGTTAGAGAAAGGAATATATCCCAAGTCCTTTGATTTTTTTTGTATCTGCTAAAAGAATTAAACATAAAAAGGAAAACACCCTCAAAACACTATATTTTTAAAAACTTACAAAATTCTTCCAACATTTATCTAAATTTAAAAAAGTATTCTTATTCTAATAAAAATGATTAAACTATTTCTTCCCAATCAAGGTCTTAATAGAGACAATTTTAAAACTATTAAGGGGGAGCTAGAGAGATGGTTCAGCAATAAGAGCACAGGCTGTTCTCACAGAGGAACCTAGTTCAATTCCCAGCACCCACATGGCAGTTCCAGGGGTTTGGATGCCCTCTTCTGACCTCCTCAGGAACTGTAGGACACAGGTGTACTTACATGCAGGCAATACACTCCTATACATAAAGTAAAAATAATAAATATTTTTAACTATTAAGGAAAGCTACATAATTATTTAGTCAATGCCTTAGGTTAACTGGTAGACAAATGAAGGTCAAGATCACTTAAGTCGTTTTTCACAACAGTTCAAATCTGTTAGGTCTTCTATTGACTACTGTTTTACCTCTAGGAAAAAATAAAAAAGGGCTTCTGCTACTCATTCACTCTTTTATGATTCCTTTTTGAAACTCCTTTGCATGCTTAGTCCTCAAATCTAATTCTCTCCTACAATCAGCATTCACTGTTTTCATTTTTCTAAGTATTCTCCCTTTTTAAAACGCTTACCTGAGTGCTGGGGATGTAGCACTTGCCTACCATGAGTGAGGTACTGGTTTGATACACAGCACCACAAAACCAGAAAACCCCAAATCCTTACCCTGGGCAGTTTTCCAGGCTTTAATTGAGACTCTGGTTTCTGTTCTACTGATGAGACAGTCAGACCCCCTTTCTCCTGGTGAGGCACTGGCCTACAGAGCCTACTTGAGGACAGTCTAGTAATAGTAGTTTTGATTTTGGTTTACTTTTAACTCCAACTCCGCTCAGCTACTTTAGCCAACCTCCAAATAAAGGTACAGCACTCTTTTAAAATATCAAAGTTTAATATTAAATTTCTTACCAGCATTTTTGAGTGGGATAAAGCTGTTCGTGGAGGAGGGAAGGCATGATCTGCTACTTCCAAATCAGGGTGCAAAATCTAAAGCAAACAAGTTTTATCATTTAAGAGTTCTAGGACCAATAAAATCTATTCTTTAATTTCTTTGGGCTCTTAAGTGAACTGTCAGTATATAAATTAGATTATATTCCCACCATGAAATACAACTGACTTAACTGATACAGCTCTGTGTGTACTATGGTGGAAAAATCTCTTAAGACAAAATATTTAGTGAGGAAAAAAAGACCTTTTAGAGAAATCTACAATCTTGTCTCACTTATTTGGAAATAAAACAAAATAAACCTCAAATAAATAAATGCATGACTGATATATATAAATATCTGCAGCTCTTAGCACACAGCAAACAAACACACTGGAAAGAGAATGTCAAGAGCAATTCTGTATGTCTAGGTGGATCATTCCTCCGAAAAACAGGTATTTGCTTTAAATGGGTTTGTTTGTGTGATTTGGTTTTTTTTTGTTGGTTTTTTTTTTTTTTTTTTTTTTTTTTGAGATAAGATCTCCCTGTAGCTCTAGCTGGCCTGGAAGCTGCTATGCAGACCAACCTTATAGATATCCACTAGCCTCTCCATCCTAAGTGCTGGGACTAAAGGCATGTACCACCATGCACAGTTCAATGCTTTAAAAAAAAAAAAAACCAAATTATTTTATCTATCATTTTTATTTTATGTGCATGCATGTATGTAAGTGCACCCCTGTCACACAATGCCCACAGAGGTCAGAAGATGGTGTCAGATCCTCTGGAACTGGAGTTAGGGATGGTTGTTAGCTGTCATGTGGGTATTGGGAATTAAACCCAGGTCCTCTGCAAGAGCAGCCAGTGCTCTTAACCACTGAGCCATCGCTCCAGTCCTGGCTCAATGCTTCTTAATATAATTAAAAGCTAAACAGGAATGTAAACCACTGAAATAGAATAAAGGACTCAAAAATAAACCATGCTCCTATCTACAACCACCTGATTTTTGAGAGAAAAAATAACTTGGAGAAAACATAATTTGGAGAAAAGACAACTCCTTCAATAAACAGTCCTGAGAAGACGATAACTCCTTATCAAAAAATGAAGCTGGATTGCTCTCTCTCATCCTGTACAAAAATCAATTCAAAATTAATCAAAAGCCTTAATGTAAGCCCTGAATCCTTCAAATTATTAGAAGAAAACATAAGAAAAACATTTCAAGGAACAGACATAGGTACACAGTTCTTTCTGAAAAGGACTCCAATAGCTTAGGGAAGAGTTTAAGAACTGACAAGTGGTACTGCATGAAATTTAAAACCTTCTGACAGCAAAGGAAACAACAGAGAGAATTAGAAAAAACCTTTGCCAACTCTGTATCTGACTGGGAATTAATATCTAGAAAATACAAATAACTCAAAATGTTAAACATCAGTAAAACAAACCAAACAAACCAATCAATAAATGGGTCAAAGAATAAAAGAGATAGTTCTCAAAAGAAGAAATACAAATGACCAACAAACATTTGAAAAAAATTATGAACATCCTTAGCAATCAGGGAAACACAAATTAAATAGATTAGGGGCTGGAGAGATGGTTCAGTGGTTAAGAGCACTATCTGCTCTCACAGAGGACTTACTAGCACCCACAGGACAGCTAACAACTGTAACTCCAGTTCCAGGGTATCTGATGCCTTCTTCTGACCTCCATGGGCATTGCAAGACACAGGGGCACTTATACACATGCAGGCAATGTACTCATACACAAAAATAAAAATAATAAATAAAATATTTTATTTTATTTTTTATTTAATAACCACATGATTAGAAGAAGCATGTCATTACAGCTTTAACATATTCAATAACAATTTCCAGAGCAAAGCTCCATCTCTTTAAAAGTGGCTGTAAATTTTTAGGTTCACAGTTGAATTAATACAGTTATACAATACTGAACTCAGTATAAACCCTGTAAGATATAAAATTGAGTGAGTTTTTACCCTCTAAAGAAGATCTCCATTTCATTTTAAAATATACCATTTCCTACAGAAACTCATTTTTTAATGCTACTAACACTTAGATGTTTGCACATGTGTCTCTAATCTCTATGTATCTGATTTTACTAGTCACAATCGGTTACACTCAGATTCTTGGCACCTGAGTATGGATATAAAGTCATCAGGTAGATTTCAAGGCTAATGTTTGTCACCTTTACTAATTAATATGAAGTAAATTTTTATGCTTCCTCCTCAAATATAACTTTTATTTGTTGATTGTTTGTGTGTGAATATCACACAGAACATCCAAAACAATCTTATTCATCTATATGCCCACTTCCCAAATGGCACCCTCTGATAGCCCTCCCCACACTCAATGAAGCCCATATACTCTGTCATCTCTGTTACTGTCCACTGTGTTGTTGGTAGCCCCAGACGTTCCCCAGTGCTTGTCTGTCTGATGAATCTGGTCAGCCTATCTAGAGATCCTTATTTTAGGAAGATCCGTTGTTCCTCATCTAGCAGCAATCAGTTGTCAATATTCCTTTAGATAGGATTGGGGTCATTTTCCCAGTTCTATGCTGGGTTTCTGTCTGGGAGTCTCTTGGGCCACCCTAGCCAATAACTCAAAGGAAGGTATCTCCTGTCTTGCGTTGTTTCCTGTTATGTAGCCTTTAACTATACATATGGACTCTTAAAAAATTATACTGACCCCTTTAATCTTTAGTTATACTTTCCTATTGGGTGCTTAAAACCCTACAGTTGGCCCAGATAAACCAATTTATTTTTACTTTTAATGCCATTTGAGGATCTGCTCCTCAGGGGTCACATGGACTTGGGAGGAGCCCTTGGCTCCTTTCTTCTACCAGTTCCATCTATGTGAAGATAAGTCAAAGGTCCTGCTTGACCATGGCTGGCTTTGCTTGGAAGCACGGAGGAAATGATTCCTCTGTGTTGACCCTCCTCTTTGTAGACTGAACACTGGTTCAAGTCCATCTGGCAGGGTCTCCACAGCCTCCTTGATCAAGAGGATGGGTGGCTGACCACAGTTACAGGACATTTTGAGAGATGCTCATAGTCCCCTGGAACTTAGTCAACCTAGGAGGGCAAGAAACAAAAACTGTCCTTTATGTCCCTCTGTCCAAATTAGTATAGGCCTCAAAGTATGGCTGTTAAACATCCAAGAAGGTTAGTTCCACCAGTCTGGTACTTTTAATTACCATGTGCCATGTAGATAAAGCTTGGGAAAAGACCAAACGCTCTCAGATAAACCTTGCCTAGACATATTATTCCTCGATCTAGTAGTATGTATAATTTGTCAGAGGTTGTTGGACTAATATGGATCCCTCTAGTTTTTTTAAAATTAGCTAGGCATTATTTACCTCTCGCATTGTCTAACCCTGCCATCATGGTTTCCCCATTTAAGGTGCCCCTGATTTTCCCATTTCTTCCTTAATAATACTCTCCTCCTATGGTCCCACCTCTCAAGTGTCTTCTTTCCTTTTATCCCCTAAGTTCCTTGTATACCCTTCCCTCCCACCTCCCCTTAAAATAACCCTATTTTTATCCATATCTCCCTTATTAATGCCTGTTGCCTACTGTTCTTCTCTTTCAGATTCTTTTCCTTTACCTCCCTGCTTCCTTTCCATTATCCTTGTTCCTGTAGTTATGTCTGGATACATACTCACGTATCAGGATTTGGTGCTAGGATCCACATATGAGGGAGAACATACATCGTTTTCTTTTCTGAGTCTCTTACTCACTTAGTGTTAACAGTTTCTAGTTCCATCCATTTACCTGCAAATTTCATGATTTCATCTTTCTTTACTGCTGAGTAAAACTCAATCGTATAAATGCACCACATTTTCATTATCCATGCATCAGTTGAGGGACACTTAGGTTGCTTCCATCTCTTAGCTATTGTGAAAAGGGCAGCAACAAACATGGATGTACAAGTCTCTGCAACAATGTGAGTTCTTTGGGTATATGTCAAAGAGTGGTATAACTGAGTCAAATGGTAGGTTCATTGTAGTTTTTTAAGTGTTCTCCCCTCGCTTTCCATAGGGGTTGAACAAGTTTGCAACCCCACCAGCAGTGGATGAGTGTTCCCCTTTCCCCAAATCCTCTCCAATGTTTGGTATCATTTGTTCTCTTGATCTTAGCCAGTCTGGCTGGGGTAAGATGAAATCCTAAAATGGTTTTGTGTTTCTGTAATTAATAGTGATGTTGAACACCTTTTAAGATTCTTCTTAGGCATTCCTTTATTTCTTCTGAGAACTCTGCTCAGTTCCTTAGGCCCATCTTTTAATTGGGGTATTTCCTTTCTTAATTCTTTGTTTTTTTGAGTTCATTATATATTCTGGATGTTAAACCTCTGTCAGATGTGTCACTGATGAAGATTTTCTCCCATTCTGTGGGTTTTCTCTTCACTTCCTTGGTTGCTTCTTTTGATGTACAGAAGCTTTTTAGTTTAATGAGGCCCCATTTGTTGATTCTTGACCTTGTTTTCTGAGCAATTCATGTCCGATTTAGAAAATCCTTTCCTACACCTATATCTTGTAGGTTATTAGCAATGTTTTCTTATAACAGTGTAAGGGTTTCTTAAAAACTATATTAAGATTCCATCTCACTCTAGTCAGAATGATTATCATCATGAAAACAAGTGACAAATGCTGGCCATGACGTGGGGAAAGAGGAACTCCATACACTGCCAGCAAGTCTGTAAACTAGTGCAGCGACTGTGGAAATCAGTATGGAAGATCATCAAAAAAACTAAGAGTAGAACTTCTATATGACTCTACTACATTACTTTCAGATACTGGAGTCATAAAGAAGTCACATAGTCTTTTATCGAAAAGAATCTAAATTAGCATGCTACAAAGATACATGTGCATCTATGTTTACTGGAGCACAAGTCACAATTCAAACAGGTATGAAACCAATTCAGGTGCCTATCAGTGAAGGAAGGAAGGAAGGAAGGAAGGAAGGAAGGAAGGAAGGAGGGGAGGAAGGAAGGAAGGAAGGAAGGAAGGAAGGAAGGAAGGAAGCAAGGAAGGAAGGAAGGAAGGAAGGAAGGAAAGGAGTTTTATTCAACTGTAAATAAGAATTAAATTATGTCATTTTCTGGAAAATGAATGGAACTGGAGATCATCATGTCAAGTGTGATAAAACACAGAGATATACCACATATTTTCTCTCAGATATGCAAACTAAATTTCAATACACACACACACACACACAAAACAAAAGAGGGAGAGTATGTGGAGGGAGGGAGTGAAGAGTGAAGGAGAAGGGCAATAAAAAAGGTAATGAGAGAGAGAAAGAGACAAATATTTTTCTCAGAAGTGGAATCCAGATTTAAATACAGAGGTGACATGAAAGGAGAGGGAGACTGTTCTCATGGGAAGAAGAGGATTAGTGGGAATGGACAGGAAGGAGAAGGAAAGTAATAGGAGAGAAATGAACATAGGCAAAGTCCAAATATATATATATATATAAAATTAAAGGCACAGTAAAAGACCTGAAAACAACAACAAACTAATTCAAATACTGAGGAAAAATAACAGGACAAGAAGTCGTGTCTGTCAGGTGTTGATGAAAAGATTACTAATTGGCACTGTAACCTTCAGTGGTTCAGGTTGGAGGATAGTTGTCAAAGGAACAAACAACTTTGTTTTTTCCATAGAGGTAAGACGTATGAAACAGAGTGAGGAGACAGGGAAGCTGTGGGAGACAGGCTTGAGCCTAGGGGGATATTGCAACTGTCAGGGTCACATGGGTTCCAGGAATCCAGGTTATGCTAATAAGGTATCCTACTTGCTGTGCTGTGATTGGACCACTACCCCTATATAAGCTTGTGCCTTCCTGCAATAAAGCAGACCTGTGTCACTGAACCTGGTCTCCTGTGTCTGAATGCGGCTTTGCTGACACAGTCTCCTCACCAGCCCTGGGGTCCGGGACTGGGCAGAAGCAGCGACGACAGGAGGCAGCACAGGGCAAGCAGAAGAGCTGCCTCAGCACCAGGAAAGCAGAAGAGCGTCCTCAGCCCAGGGCAAGTGGAGGAGCAGCCTCGACGCCTGTGAGAACGAAGCAGCAGCACCCACGAGAACTGAGGAGCAGCTGCCGCTGGTGGTGACCGCAGGAAGCAATGAGGGAGAAGTTGGACTTGCACTTCTTCAAAGGGGGCAGAGTGGAGAGAATGGAATAACCTAATCTTGGTCAAACAAGATTCAGTACATCACCCATCAGTCATGAACTGTCTGAAAGAATTCTTAATCACAAATAAGCATTAAAACAAGCCCCCCCCCAAATACTGGTGAAAGGGTAATAAGATTTTGAGCTTTGCATTTCTGAAGGGGAGGAGCATAATATAATGTGATAAATGTTATGAACATACAACACGTACATGGAGAGCTGACGCAGTAGGGTTATGAGCAGATCCTGTTTCAAAATAAAAAAGGTGCTGGATGTAGGTCATAGAAGAGCACATGCCAAGCATAAGAAAGGCAATAAGCAAGGTTCAATCCCCAGAACCACAAAAACAAAGGTTGTCTATAGCATATTTAGAGCAGACTAAAAGAAATAAACACTCCTTGAAACTAGCACTGACCTGGATGTTTCAGGTGATGCATACCTATAATCCTAGCACTCAGGAGATTAAGGTAGAAGGATTGTGAGTTGACTAAGGTAGAAGGACTGTGAGTTAAGAGGTCAGTTTGTGATACATGGTGAAACCTTGTCTCAAAATAAAATGAACACTAACGTACTGACAACAAATACAACCAAATCATCAAGTCACCTCTGCAGTATATTAATGTTTTGGTCCCTGTAAAATCATTCATAATTATTATTATGCAGTTCAAGTAACATACTGTCATTTGATAACAACTGTTTACTAACCCAAACAAATCTATACTTGCTTGTCAAAGCTTCCCTATTACATGAAATCTGATCTCTTTTTGGTCCTTGTCAGACAATATACAGTGCTCTTATCTCTTAGTCACATTAAATTACACTATACATTATAACATATAACCCACTGTGTTAATAACTAAGTAACAAATATACTCAGGTTCACCACAAATGAACCATATACATCAAACACACTTAGTGGCACAGGTACTGCAGGAAGTGTACAGTGTGTAGCAGAATCCCTGCCAAGAACCACTGTCTTAAGCACTACAAGCTTTGTTAAATTTGGCATTTAACCACTAAAAAATTATTAATATCATTATTAAATAATTGCATAGGTGCTTTAAATACTGCAAGAATTCTAGAAACATTAAATTTTTCAACTACTTGAATATTAGTTTTTCAACTACTTGCTATATCCATGTTCCATCTATATGCCATAATTAATATTTTTCTTTAAAGTAACTTGCTTTTTGAAAGCTAGTGTTTTCTTCAATATTATCTTTGCAATCACCAGTCTTATACATTATTTAAAACATGCATTATAAAAAGCCTGTAACTATTAAAATAAAAGAATTCTATTTAAATCATCTCCATGATTTGGGTTGAAAAACAATAAATATTCAATTAAAACTCAAAGTACTTTCTTTAAATAACTATGTAGTAAATGAAGGGTTCTACTCTAAAGACTATAAAAAGAATGTATTTGTTTCAAACATAAGCCTCCTCAAAATAACTTTTAATAGTTTTTAATTTCATTTAAATTTTATATCATTTAAATCATGAAAAAATTGTCATTAAAAAAAAAGTCATACCAAAGAAAGAGCTGCTTGAGTCTGATGAAGAAGTGGCTCCGGGAGGGAAGAGAGGTGAATACATTCAGGAATTTTAATAGTCCCTCCATCCAAATCTGCTATAATTACATCTAACTGAAAAAGATTTTTAAAAATTAACCATAATTAATAAAATGTATTTGTTAAGAAAATTAACTTACCCTTGACTAACTTAAATCAAGAAGACCAAGTTGAGGAAGAGGTTCTTAGCTATCTACAGTAACACAGTTCTGGGCTCATGATTTCCCCAGTTACCATCTATTTCCCAACTATAATTTAATGTGAATAAGAGCATTGTCTGAGAAGGACCATGAAATGAACAATGAAAAACAATGTGTGCATTTCCAGCCCTTCAAGACAGGAGTGTTATTAGCTTTTTCCGTATTTTTGTTCTTCCCATAGGAAGAAACTGAAGTAGCAGCAATCTAGCATTAATTGTTCAGATGAAGACAATGCCCATGGGAACTGTACTTAAAAAAGCAAGAAGTAAGGTAGTTGGCATGATAAATGATGCCACAGAGCAAACTGTCTGGCATAATGGGACATTTTTCCATGAAATACTACATCCTAAAATAAAATAAAATCCCACATTAGCCAATGTCATTGAATTTGGATTCCTTAACCTAAATAAATTAACATGTATTACAAGAACCAATAAACAAAGCAATACCTAACAAAAGAATACTGTTTGGCTGGGCAGCCTGGGATACATGAGATCTTGTCTCAAAAATCAACAATAAGGGGCTAGAGAGTTGGCTCAGTAGTTTAAGAGCACTGGCTGTTGTTGCAGAGAACCGGGTTCCGTTCCTAGCACCCACTTGGCAGTTCACAGCCACCTGTAACTCCAGTTCCAGGGAATCCAACCCTCTCTTCTGGCCTCCGTGGGCACTGCACATATATGGTACACTTACATAAATGCAGGCAAAACACTCATACACATACAAAAAAAAACCCCAATAATAATAGGAACAACAAAATGAAACATCCCCCCCAAAACCTGATTTGCAGTATTTTAAAAGCTTGTATCTAAAAATGACTTACATGAAAATAGAAAAGAAATATTAGTGAAGTCACTACATCAATAACATGATTATAAACTCATTCTGATTTATTCATTAAAATATTAAGAAATCTACATTTGGCAACATGTGGTTTGTTCTATATTTTTATTTAGCAGTACTAAAATTAGCTATAAACTACACAGTAATTTTTACTAAACATTATTACACATTTTTATATGATGATACCAAAGTTAAAAAGATATTAACATATGATGTTAGGAGACTGATTAGTATACATATGAGGCCTTATTTATAATCATGTTGAATAATCTTCAGTTATTTTAATGGCACCTCTGATCTCTGATCTGGTTATAACTACAGTTACTGTATAAGTCCCAAAAGAGGTTGTTTCTTTGCTGGCATTTAAAACAACAGAAGCAGAATTACAAAGTTTTAAGGATCTGTGGATCACAAATGTCTTGTAGCCAAAATTTTCAGCAAAGAAACTGTCTCATCCTCCCTGAAAAATGTCCTGTATCTGTTCCTCATACTGCACTCAAAGTGTTGTGTATCTGCTCCTCACATGCACTCACAGTACTACAGAGCATAGCCCTCACTACCCATGAGACCCACTCTGACACTGGGCAGTTCTAAAGTTGGAAACACCTGAACTGGGCAGAAATGTGTTTCTGTATCACTATCCCCATTAATTCTACTTCAGCCTTTTATAGCTACAAAAGAACCAAAACCAGACAAAACAACAAAAAAAGAATTTTACCCTTCCTCACTATGAAAGTCACTTAAATATTGATTTTTAGCTATTAAATATATCACCTGAGAAAATATCCTCAAGGCACTGCAGAGTTCCTAAATTCTCGATTCTGGGTGACCTCCAAAGCACTGTGTTTTGCTACAGTCCCTCTTACACCATGATCTCCAGAAGCAAGCACGCTATTCTAGCTATTCTGGCTTTTGTTTCTTTGGTATTCATAAGGATTCAACAACACAAGAATTTGGTGGGGGATTGAACTGAACTTCTGTTTCACTAAAACTAAACTCTCTGTAAAAGTATTTTTGTTAGTTCTCAGGTATTCAGTATTAACAAATCTCATTTAAAATATTAATAAGTTAGCCGGGCTCAAAAAGACCAAAAAAAAAAAATTAATGTTAAGCACCATCAAGGAAAGTATGCGGGTGGAGGGGGACTGGAGAGAGAGTTCAGGGGTTAAGAGCACTGGCTGCTCCTGCAGAGAACTTGGGTTCAGTTGCTAACCCCCACATAGAGGATCTGATGCCCTCTTTTGGTTTCTGCAGTCATTGCATGGAATGGGTGTACTAACACACATGCAGGCAGAACACTCACATAAAATAAAATTTTTAATGAGAAAAGTATAAATAATATATTCATTAATGGATTAATCTTTTTCTCATATGCAGAAATACAGAATTCCTCATATGAGGAATACAGAAAGGTAAATTTCATCTGCTGTACAAAGGGTATTTAAAAGCTAAGGGCTGTGATACATGTCACTAGCTATTCACTCAGAAGGCTGAGGTTTAAAGTTAAAAGACAGTTTTGAGATCAGCCTGGACAATACAGGGTGACCCTGTTTTTCCTGCTAGTTAGTTAGTTAATTTGTATGAGAGACAAAACAGAAGCAGAGAGAGAAAGGGGGTGGGGCTACATGGGCCTCGGTACATGTGTAGAGGTCAGAGGACAACTTTCAGGAGTTGGTTCTGGCCTTCGATCTTGCTGAGGCAGGGTTTCCTCTGTTTCTTCGCTGCTCACTCAGGGTGGCTGGCCTTCAATCTTCCAACTGATTCTCTTGTCTCTGCTAGGAGTGCTGGGATTACAGATGTCATGTGTCTTTTTTACATGGGTTCTAGGAATCTAACTCAGGTCAAGCATTTTTTACCCAATGAGCCTAGCCCAATCCCCAATTTATTAATAAATAAATGAATTTTTTTTAAACTCTCATATTTGTTATAATACAAAAATTAGACTTCTTAATGATGTTTTCCTTTTGGTCAGTCTTTTTTACTGGAAACGCACCAGAAATGAAAATAACAATGAAGTAAAATGATGCAGGATGAAATAGGAAAGACTCAATTACTAGACATTTTAAAGATAATACTTACAAGTTCATGAATATCAGTTTTAAAGATGGAATGTACTCCAATAATAAAAGGTGTTGGAGAACTGAGAACTTCTAGTAGTTGAGCCGGAAGAATAGGAATATAAGGATAACTGGAAATAAAGATATTTCATATGTATATAATTTTCCCACAATATGAACACATTTTCCTCTAACATTTATGAAATCTGAATTTTTGTTTTTTGACACAGGAGCTCCCTTTGTAGCCACAGCTGGCCTGGAACTCATTATGTAGATCAGGATGGCCTTCATCATGCAGAGATGGCCTGTCTCTGCTTCTAGAGTGCTGGAACTAAAAGTGTGTGCCACCAAACCCAGCTAACATCTGCGTTTTTAAGTCTTTTTTTATTAGTTCTTTGAGATTTCACACAGCGTATTTTTATTGTATTTTACCCCTCCTTTGACTTCTCCCCGCATCTCCCAGATCCTACTTCCTTACCCTCCCCCAACTTTGCATCCTCTTTTTAAAAATATTTTATTAGCCCTTTGAAAATTTCATACAATGTACTTTGGTTATATTTACTACCCACTCCTCTCCCTAACTCCTTCCAGATCCACCCCTAGCTTCTACCCTCCCAACTCTATGACACTTTTTAATACTTTTAATTTCACCCCACACCTCCCTACCACCTCAACTTTGTTCCCTTATATTTTTTTGAAACTTGATTTTTAAATCACCCATATTTCAAAATTATCAATTATATTGACATGATTGTTAACACTAGAAGTTTCAAAAGGAATGCTTTTCAAAATCTTAATATTTGAGATCTGATCAAACATCACAAGGCACAAAGTAAATGGAACCACGTAAGTCTCCTCATTCCTTTGTCCTCCTACACAAGTCTCTTTAGATCTTTTAGTACTACTTCAAAGCACTTTCCCTCATACAGAATCCTGACATCAGAGAAGAGCACTGAGAAGGCCTCCGTCTCTAGACAATGTCATGACTTGTCTAAAGAATACAATTATTCAAATTCCATTTTCTGTACTTGATGTTTACACTCAGTAAGTACACTGATTAAAAATTCAGAGGCAATCTAAATTGTATCTATCATGTATGAACTTAAGTTCCTGAGATACTATGATTAACAAACTAAAGTCTATACTATAATAAAACATTGTACTTGTAGTACTACCAGCCAGCACTGCTTACTTTTTTTAAAAAAATTGTTTTATACTTTTAATTATGGAAAATATTTAAAATAGTCTTTAAAAAATAAATAGGAAAAAAATGTAACGAAGCTCTATGCATTTAATCCAGGTTTGACAACTGACAATTACCAATGTACAACCATATACATTTCTACTCACTTATATTTTGATATTTTGAAGAAAATTCCATACATCATATCCTTTATACATAAAGACTTAGTATCTTAAAAAGATAAGGATTCTTAATTAACAGGACTCCAGTAACTCCTAAAAATTACTCTGTTAGTATCAAGTAGCATGGATCAAAGAATTTTATCTGCATTGAAAGAAAATTAAACATTGCTGACAATACTATTCAAAGTAAATTAAATATTTTTCACTAAATTAATCAACACTCAGTAATGTACAACGTGTAAAAGTCCCAAACTCTAGGCTAGATTTTAGTAGAATCATAATTCTCATAACAGTCTAACTTTAACCTATGTAGTTCAAAATAATTGGGCCATAACATTTTAATTTATCAACAAGAAATGCATGGTTTGGGAATAAATAAAATTACCAAGTAAAAACCTCACCTGTATTTAAGAGGAAACATCAAAGATTCCAGGGCTCTACAGGCATCGCTAAGTCTCTGGAAACTTGCAGAATGGAAGAGAACTTTATTTTCTGTAAGGACTGCACAAAAGAGACTGAGGACATTTTGAATTCCTGAGAACACAAAAGCAAAGATCTACTTAATGCACTAAATATTATTTGTGTTGTCAACCACCACAGATTTACAATGACAGAAACAAAAGGCTAATATATTGGTGATCTTTAAAGGGAAATACTTGGCTAGACTATAAGTTCTATATAACCTGTGGGTACTGTCTTTCTAAACATATAGCTCTGTATTTATTCTTGCTTTGTATTTATTCTTCACGTCACTGTAATGCTCACTGACAGTATGCACAAGACCCAGGCAAACTCAAACCAGACAGAAACCCAGCATAGAACTGGAAAGGTGGGCAGCAAGCCCCAGACTTAGCTGAGGAACTACTGGCAGCTGATCACTGCTGGGTAAGGGAGAGTTGATCTTCTTTAAGGGAGTGATGCTAGATAGGCTGATCAGGCTCCAGTGGATGAACTCACACTGAGGGACATCTAGGGATACAAACTTTACTCAATAGACCTTAATATATTTGACAGAATGCATAAAACCCATTGAGGGGGACTATGGAAGGGGGCATAGAGGGGAGGGAGTCTAAATACAATTAAGAGGTATAAAATGCGGGGCTGGAGAGATGGCTCAGTGGTTGGGAGCTCTTTCAGAGGACCCCGGTTTGATTCCCAGCATCCACATGGTGGCTACCAACCGTCCGTAACTCCAGGGGAATCCGAAGGCCTCTTCTAACCTCTGAGGCATTGCATGACATAGGTGCACTCACTTACATGCAGACAATACACCTGTACATATAAAATAAAAATAATAAATAAAATATTTTTTTAAAAAAAGGCACCGGGTGTGGTGGTGCACGCCTTTAATCCCAGCACTTGGGAGGCAGAGGCAGGCAAATCCTCTGTGAGTTTGAGGCCAGCCTGGTCTACAGAGTGAGTTCCAGGCAGCTGGAGCTACAGGGAGACCCTGTCTCAAAAAGAAAAAGAGGTATAAAATGCACAAAAATTCAATAAAAATATATATTGAAAAGAATAAGTGGTTAAAAAAATGATCATAGATCACAGTAAAAACCAAATTTGCCACCTAGAGCAGAATATGCCAATCATAGTAATGGACTCTTGAGTACTCAAATTTAAGTCTATCATTTTAAAACATTTTATTTATTATTTTTTTATTTTGTGTATGAGAGTACTGCCTGCATGTATGTTAAGTACACCCGTGTCATGCAATGCCCATGGAGGTCAAAAGAGGGCATCAGATTCCCCTGGAACTGGATAGAGATGGCTGTTAGTTGCCATGTGGGTGCTGGGAATTGAATCTGGGTCCTCTGCAAGAACAGCTAGTCTCTTACTGCTGAGTCATCTCTCAGGCCTCAAGCCTATCATTTTAAAACCACATAGAATTGAAAAAGAAAATAGCTATTCCCTTTTTTTCCTCATTGTAAGTGAGAATAACAATGAAACAAGTCATAGCTCTACAGGAATAAACTGGGAAAACTGAGTGAAGACAGAAACAGAAACATGATCCAAAGCATTAGATTTTGACTACTTAAGGGAAAAGGAATGAAAAGCATTTTATAAATGATGCATTAATCAGGAAATTCATAAATTTTCTAGTCCATGCATGCTTCTTAAAGGTGTTACCTTTAAAGTAATTTAGTGCACCCTAAACCCTCACTTTTATCTATGGCACCTTTTCATCTTTCTATTTGAGAAAAATTAAGTTTTTTAAATGTTCCTATATGAGGAACTATTGGCAACTGATTACTGTGGGGTGAGGGAGAGCTGATCTTCTTTAAGGCAGTGACTCTACATAGGCCGACTAGATCCAGTGGGTAAACTAGCACTGAGGGACATGTGAGTATAAATGCTTGATCTTAACATATATGACAGAATGCATGAAACCCAGTGGGGGTGAGGGCACTATGAGGTGTACGGATGACGGAGAGGGGTCTAAATATGATTAAGATCTACTGTATGAAACGCACAAGAACTCAATAAAAAAATACATTAAAAATGTTCCTATACATGTTGTATCAAAGAATTATTACATACCACACAGAAGCTTCTCCAGGAAGACAGAAGGGAAAATACCAAAAATTTTTCTCTTAAAACATTTAAGAACAGAAATAATTTTCTGAATAGCAAGGTATATCTACAATCAACATTTTAAGAAATTTATGTGGGAGTAGAAATAATGTTTGAAGATAAACTGGAAAAATAAAACCTTACTTATTTTAGTAAGTTAAAAAAAATCTATGTTCAATATACAGGGAATTAGAGAAATACTGACCCAATGGAGCTAATGCAACATCAGTTAACATTAAATACGGATAAATAGAAAGGTAAAGAGAGAGATTAAGAGGATTAACAGAAGTGTGAAACTTGGAAGGGCAGAAGTACACATAAGTATTTCAGCAAACACAGTATCTTTTCAAACAGGGAAAAACAAATCATTATCATAAAAATTCTTAGAAGATCAAAGGAAATGCCATCATTACATTTAGACCTTCCACAGGAAAATGAGTCAATGCTACAAAGGAACCTTCTAGTCTTATCTACTTCCTTTCTGGACTTTGTAAGTTCACCACCACCCTACCCCAAATCCAGGTAGTGAACTCAGATAATGGTCTAATATTGGACTTCAGCCAAAGTCCAATCATAATGCCTAGTGATACAAGAATGCTTTTAGACTAGATGGCTTTGTAAAATACAAATCTGTGTTTAGCAATGTACCTTTCTTTTATAAAAATTTGAAAGTCAAGGGTCAATATATTAAGCATTTTTCCTGCTTTCCTTCACTGCCTTTTCCCTATTCTTTCCCTGAAAAGGTGAATTTAGAATATGCAAAGGGGAGCTAGAGAGATGGCTCAGCAGTTAAGAGCACTGGCTGCTATTACACTGCACCCAGTCTCAGTTCCCAGCATCCACATGGTGGCTAATAACCATCCAGGACTCCAGTTTCAGGGGATCTGACACCTTTTCTAGCCTCTGCAGATTCGTACACACAGGTGCATAACTTACATATGTGTAGGCAAAAACACTCATACACATAAAATAAAAATAAAATTTAAAAAGAATATGCAAAAGATAATTCAGCTCAAAATAATAGAGAGTAAAATAAAATAACAACAACAAATAAACTCTGATCTTTAAAAGATCAATCATCTTGAATTCTAGTGCCCTTTAATATGCTGAAAAATCATATGAGGCATGATTACCATTTCCTCATTCCTCATGCAACAAACACTGACAACTTCTGTGTCTGAGGTACTGTGCCAGATACAGAGGAATCAAGAATAGTAAAATGTGGCACCTTCAGAAGCTCACAGTCTCCTAAGGGAAAATTCCTTAGAAATAAAAGAGGGCATTCCTGTTTATTCAGGAAAGAATTACCAAGGTATCTCAATGACAATTCAAAAACAATATATACCATCCCTGGACTGTCTACCTGACAAGAGATTTTTGTTATATGAGAAGGGTAAAATTTCTAATTTGCTTAAGATATTATATTAGGTTTTTCATTTTTTTTCAGATGTTGATACCCAGGAAGCAGACAGATCTCTGTGAGTTTGAGGCCAGCCTGTTCTACACAGTGAGTTTCAAGCCAGCTAGGGCTACATAGGGAGACCCTGTCTCAAACAAATGAACGAACGAACGAACAACAACAAAAAGTTGAGTATACACATAAAGAACTCGTTTAAGAGTTAAAATTTATCTTTTTATCGTAATATAAAACAGATACAGAACACCACAAAAATAGAATGCATGGCTCAATGTCTAACTTTAAAAAATACCATTTACATCAAGAAATAGGACTTTCTCAGCAAGCTTACAAGCCTCTTTCATGTGCCCCAATAAAATAACCTCTCTTCACTACCTTAACTGTCCTGATTTTTAAATTAATTACTTTTATGTAGGCATGTTTATCACTCAAAAGTATACATGTGGAGATATAATAGTTTAGTCTTATTCTACTCAAAAACTAGATGTCTTTTTAAAAATCTCTTAATTTAGAGGTTCCTTTTCCATGCCCACCCCACCCCTAAAACATATACATCACAAGTATTTTATTAAAGAACATGAAATTTGGGGCTGAAGAGATGGCTCGGTGGTTAAGAGCACTGGCTACTCTTGCAGAAGACACAATTTTGGTTTCTAGCACTCACATTGTGGCTAACAACCATCTGTAACTCCAGTTCCAGGGGATGAGATTCCCTCTTCTGACCTCCACAGGCATTATACGACATGGGTGCACTTATGTACATGCAGGCAATACACACATACACATAAAATAAATATTTTAAAAAGAACATGAAATTTTTTGAATGGTTGTTTCTAAAAACTTGGATTTTAAAAATGTTAGGTATTTATTTATTTTGGGGGGAGGGGGGAATGCCAGGGCATGTACGTGAAGTCAGAGGACAAATTGCAGAAGTCTGTTTTCTCCTTCCACCATGAGAGTCCTGGGGATTGAACTCAGGTTGTCAAGCTTAACAGCAAGCATCTTTACCAGTCCAAATGCCTGGACTTTTATAATTATATCCTCTTGGTGAGATTCAATGTATTCTTCTATCTTTGGCATTTACAAAATTAAGATTTTGATAAAACTAGGCAATGTGCAGTAAGGGTAAGCATGCAGTATGTTTTTCTTTATATGATACTTAGATTATGACATAACAGCTTATGAGAGTCTAACTCCAGAGAATCTGCCATCCTCTTTGGGGATGTGTCATCCTCTTTTGCTTTCTGCAGGCACCAGAAATGGTGTACATAATACATACATGAAGGCAAAACTCTCACACACCTAACATAAAAATAAATCTTAAAAGAAAAATTCCAACATGGATTGGGGAGGGATTTTTGAGACCTCACATCTAGCTGAGGAGCTACTGGCAGTTGATGGTTGGTGGAGGGAAAGTAAAGTTACTTTTTCTTTAGGAGTATGGCCACTGGTAGGTTCCTATGCGTCAGTAGATGCACTAACTGGACTCAGTGGGTGATAGATGATAGGTTAGGTAGGCAGGCAGAGAGATAATCATAAAAGGAGGACATGAAGTTGGGAGAAAGATGTGATAGGTGGTTTCTATGGGGGAGGAGGAGGTTGGATAGGAGGAGTGAGGCACGGTGGGTTATCAATCAAGATAAACTTTATTTATAAAATATAAAAAATAAGGTTTAAATTGCTGAGCTTTGATCAATTATAATTTTTGAAACTCCAATGGTGCCATCTCTCAGATCAAGTTGCTTCAAGATAGTTTCCTTAGCTGTTTTTACAAACCATGGTAATTTTGTCTCTATGAAGATACATAGTTTATATAGTATAAAACTCTTGTTTCTTGTTTTCTTTTTTTTGGGGGAGATAGGGTCTTGTTATGTCATTCCAGGCTGGCCTTACAACTGTGGGAATGCTCCTGAGTGTGTGGATTATAAAACTCACTGTTTTAAAGTGTACAATTCAGTGGTTTTTAGTACAAAATCACATAACCATTATTAGTATCTAACTCAAAATAATTTCATCACTCAAGAGAAATTCTGGACCTGTTATTAGCCCAAACTAGCCCCAGGTAACTTTTACAAACTTCTGTCTATATAGATTTTCCTATCCTGGACTTTTCATACAAACAGTATCATACTCTATGTGGTCTTTTGTACCTGGCTTCTTTCACTTAACATAGTTTCAAGGTACATCCATGACATCCATGATACTATATATTGATAATGCATTCCTTTTGATGGCTAAATAATTTTCTATTAAGTGAAGGTATCATAAGGTTTATTCATTTATCTATTCACAATGGACATTTATTTTCACTTTTATCTATTTTATGTAACCATGCTATTAACATCCACATACAAGTTTATTAATGTGTTTTCAATTTCTCTTTAGAATTTGATACATTTTAAGATACATATTCACAAGGAGAATCAGCATCACAATTCAGATTATGAAAACAAATGTTATCTAAAAAGTTTCCTCATGTCCTTCTGTAATCTTTCTCTTTTCACCTACAATATAGCCAGAAACCTGATTTTTTTTACACGATGTTATATTTATTCAAAACAATGATACACTTTAGAATCACAACACTCTATCATTCTATTAGATCTCTGCAAGACCTATTTTTGTCACTATAGACTAGACTACAATATTTAGCAAACTGAATTATAAAGTATGCATTCTTTTTCATGCAATGGTTTTCATTAAACACAATTATTTTCAAGTTTATCTATACTGTATGTATCAATAATTCATTCTTTTACACTGCAAATCCTATCATATGGATATACCACAGAATTTTATTCATTTTCATTATCAATTACCTATGGTGAACACTGAGATTGCTTCCAATTTTTTAATTACCATAAACTATCTTTGGACAGTCATGTGCAAATACTTTAATGGATATGTACTATCATTTTCCTTAGATAAATGTGTAGGAGGAGAATAGCTACATTATATATAGTATACTTAATTAAAAAAATAAACAGTGGCCCAAGGTACCTGTACCACTTCAGATTCTAATTAACAAAGAACAGTGATCCCAGTTCTTTAATATCTTTTCAAATACACGGGCAGGCAGCCCTTTGAAAAGCTGGAAACACTGGGATGGTCTTTCTCTCCCTCCCTCAAATTGTATACTTCATTACAATCATACCAAGCTGTGAACCCCAAGCACCCTTCCATCTACCTTTGTTCTAAATTTTTCCCAGACATCCAAACTATGTTAATAAGATGACACTGAAAGAAGTCCCTCAGGATGCCTTCTCAACAACTAGAACTTGGGAAGCAAGCTCTACTCTTTTCTCCTTCTGAGCCATCTAAGCATCAAGGGATAATAAATGGTTTGTTTGTATTTTCTCTGTCAGATGATAGGCTTCAAGAAGAAAAGACTGAATACTCCAAGACAAGACATACCTAATTGCTGAAACAAAAGAGCCACGCTGGTGCCTGTGATAGGAAGACTGTCATGCAAAGGAGTCTGGATCAGCTGTCTGTCTCCTGCACCCAAGGAAAACAGCTTCTGCAGAATGAGACAAAGTGGTAAGAGTCCATAAGGAGGCAGCAGCATAAAAGCCAAAAGACTGTATGCTATTTAAAATGGCATACAGAAAAATTCAGTCATTGAAAGGTGAAAATTTAGTAGGTGGGATGAGACACAAAAATCACTAACAACTGTATTTGACTAAAAAACTTTTTGCCCTTGAAACAGGGTGAGGAAGAAGAGATCAACATTTTAAAGGGGGGGAATACATGATTGAAGACAGACACCAAAAGGAAAATTTTAAAATGCCAAATTACCTACATCTTTACTTTTAAAAAATATGGTATTTATTTTATTTTATGTGTATGAGTGTTTTGCCTACAAGTATGGAAGTGCACTCATGTCATGCAATGCCCATGGAGATCAGATCCCCAGGAACTGGAGTTAGGACAGTTGTTAGCTGTCATGTGGGTGGTGGGAACCAAACCCTGGACCTCTGCAAGAGCAGTCAGTGCTCTTAACCTATGAGCCATCTATCTCTCTAGCCCCATCTTTACTTTTTTTTTTTTTTTTTTTTTTTTTTTTTTGGTCTTTTTGAGACAGGGTCTCCCTGTAGCCCCAGCTGGCCTGAACTCACTATGTAGACTAGGCTGGTCTTGAACTTACAGAGCACCATCTGCTTCTGCCTCCTGAGTGCTGGGCTTAAAGGCTTGTGCCACCACACCTGGCCCATCTTTACTTTTTAAACATAACATCTTTGACAGACCCTGAAGGACAAGTGATATGATTTTCAGAGGGTTCTCTCTCTCAATATTATGTAACAAAATATATGATTGACTCATTTATTTTTAGGTTTAAGGAGAAGAGTGTATTCTAGTTTGGTTTGTTTTTTTTGGTACTGGGGAGAAATAAAATCTATGGCCTTGCACATGCTAAGTACATGGTTCAAGTCTATTTTTAAATGATAATATGATTGCTCTAGGAACAATAAATAAATCCTAGCAGCAAAGATTTTTATTTTTGTAGTTCAGAAACAAATTTAAGAATCTCAAGATACACAGAATAAAGGAATCTACTTAGAACTCTGTTATAATGTTACAAAGAATTGTGTTGAGATCTTAATGTTTGATCTTAATTTGGATCAAACTTTTCACTTAAGCTAATAAAAATGAGGACTAACTATATAAAAAAGGTAGAAAAAAATATATTTAAAAATTCAACTTAAAGGGTCCTAGCACTCAGTAGGCAGAGGCAGGTAGATCTCTGTGAGTTCAAGGCCAGCTTGGTCTACATAGTGAGTTCCAGGCCAGCTGCTGGGAAGCTACAGAGAGACCCTGTCTCAAAAATACCGAAACCAAAACAAAACAAAAACAAAAAAGAACCAAACAAAAATTCAACTTAAAGAAAGGTTCAAAAAAGTAAAGAGTACAGTTGACATTACACCAAATATGTCTTCTAATTATGCTATGTGAAAGGGGAACTCTGTGTTAAAATTTGCCTCTAGGCCAAAGAACGGAATCTTAGATAGAAGTTCCACCTTCTATAAGGTTTAACTAAAGTAGGATCCTCTTTAAAACAAAAATCTTTAAAGAATTCTTTCTTTCCCTTTCTTCATAAATTAAATTACTTGGAGAAAAAAAACAGTTCATTTCACTTTCACTCTATTTACCTGAGACCCTCCAGCAGCTGGGACAAGGCAAGCACAAAGATTTGCAATGAGACTTTCTAAGGAGACACTCAGGCTGTCCACATACACAGTGTAGATCAAACCCAGGCAAGCCTGTGAAAAGAGATGCATGCAGTCATTTGATGAAAATACCATTTTAAAAAAGTGACATCTGCTGCTAGGAAAATCTCTCTTTGAACTAGGTAAATCATATTCTAAGGTGAACATGGAATACATTTTAAGCAACAAACTAACTTTATTAAATTTTCCTCTAGGACCAGAACATCCAAATGAGTTTCTAAGCAGAGTTTACAAAAAGCAGAAAGCCATAATTTGTAAAACAGATATCTCTATTTAGATTACCCCAGCTAATTTGCAGAGCCCAAACTGGTTCTATCTTACTGTTTTGCCTGGTTGTTTCAACTTACTTTGCAAACCTCCAAATTTCAACATAAAAATTTAGAGAATATATTTTGTGGTTCTTATAAATCCAAAGTATTTATTTTACTACATATGAATTATAGGAGAGAAAGATAAAATAGATGAGATAATAAGATTAACATTTGGGACTCAAAAGAACTGGTAAAATAGAACATGTAATTTTCTTTACTTTGTGTTTCTATAAGTTCTATGTGCATGTGTATACACGGAGGCTAGAGACTGACACCATTTTCTTTCTTAGTAGCTCTCCACCTCATTTTTCTTTTGAGACAGAACCTCTCACAGATTAATCTAGATCTGGGGATCCTCCTGCTTCCCCATTCCATTCTCCCCAACCCCTAGCACTCAGGCTTGGTGCTGTGCTTCGCTTATGTGTGGGTGCTGGGATCCAAACTCAAGTTCTCTTGTTTGCAAAGCAAGCACTTTACTAGCTGATTCCTTTTCTCAACCCTAGAATGCAATCTTAATAATCTTTTAACTCACTGAAATTTGTGACAGAAAAATTAGCAACTGTTAGGAGTTACCCACTGTCACTGAAATCCTGACAGTAGGTTAATTGTTCCAGAATACATGATCTTATTTTCTAAAAGTTTCAGATTTGCATATTAGTACAGATATTTATACTTTCATACTTTTTTTTTTTCAATGGTCTTTTTGAGACAGGGTCTCCCTGTAGCCCCAGCTGGCCTGGAACTCATTATGTAGACCAGGCTGGCCTCGAACTCAGAGATCTGCCTGCCTCCGCCTCCAAAGTGATAGTATTAAAGGTGTGAGCCACCATACTTGGCTTATACTTTCATACTCTTTTTACATTTGAAAAATTCTGATTAAAAAAAAAATCTGGGGCTGGAGAGATGGCTATGGGACAAGGCAAAGTGATAGTATTAAAGGTGTGAGCCACTATACTTGGCTTATACTTTCATACTCTTTTTACATTTGAAAAATTCTGATTAAAAAAAAAAATCTGGGGCTGGAGAGATGGCTCAGCAGCTAAGAGCACTGACTGCCCTTGCAGAGGACCTGGGTTTGATTCCCAGCACCCACATGGTGGCTGAGCTGTCCTTAACTACAGTTCCAGAGGAATCTGAAGCCCTCTTCTGACCTCCATGGCATTGCATGACACAGTTGCACTTACATACATGTAGACAATACATTCCATACACATAAATATTTTAAAAAAAAGGTACACTGGCCCAAAGGCTTTAAAAAAAAAACCTAAGTAAAGAGAGGTGTCTCACTACATAGCCCAGGCTGGCCTTGAATTCAAGATCCTGCTTTCACTACCTCTCACATTGCTAGGATTACAAGCATGTTACCACCAAGCCCAGCCTATAAACAATATTTTAAAGATATGTTGGCAGAAGCATGACCATGGATTATCTAAAATCTCACATAATCATATTCACTTCAACCTAACTCCATAAGCTTAATATACACGTACACAGTTGTTAAATTACTAGTGCATTTTAAACTTTCTGCAAGCAATCAAATTATTATTTTATGATTTGAAAAGTTTAAATTCAATGTATGGGATCTATTTTAAAAGGAACATTACATTCTTAAAAACATAAATAGTTGCAGACAGTAGCAGGGATATCAGAGTATAAGGGCTCTAGTGGGGGGAGGGAGGCTATGGGAGGGTGCTATCTGGGAAGTGGGTGTATAGTCGAATGAGATGGTTTGGGATGTTCTGTGTGATATACACACACACATAAAAAAATCAACAAATTTTTTAAAATGTATTATATTTGAGGAGGAAGCATGGAAATTTACATCATGCTAATTAGTAGAGGTGATAAACAATACCATTGAAATCTGCCCGATGACTTTATTGACATACACAGGCGCCAACGATCCAAGTTCAACCGATTATGACTAGTAATAATCAGATATGTACAGATTAAAGATGCAAGCACCAACATCTCAGTGTTAGTAGCAAAAACAATGAGTCTGTCTGCAAGGAACAATATATTCTAAAATGAAATGGAGATCTTTTTTAAAGGTTAAAAACTCATCTAATTTTATGTCTTACAGGGCTTATACTGAGTTCAATTATATATAACAGTATTAATTCAACTGTGAACCTAGAAACTTGCACCCACTTGTGAAAGAGATGTACGTTACTCTGGAGTGTGTTACTGAATATGTTAAAGCTACAGTGAAAAGCTTCTAATCATGTAGTTATTAAAAATTAAAAAAGTATAATGATTAAAAAAATAATTCTTCAAAGCATAAAAATTTGCTCCTTAATAATTAGTAGATGTGAAAAACATTACCATTGAAATCTACCTGATGACTTTCTATCCATGCTCAGATGCCAAGGAGCTCAGAAAGTAACTGACTGTGACTAGTAATAATCAGATATATAGAGATTAGAAACACAAACCTCATTTAATTTTATGTCTTATAGGGTTTATACTGAGTACAATGTTGTATAAGATTTAGTGATTCAACTATAAACCTAAAATGTACAGCCAATTTTGTAAGAGATGCAGCCTAGCTCAGAAAATTGTTATTGAATATGTCTATACTGATATAATAAAATGCTTCTTCTAAGTATGTGGTTATTAAATAAATAATTAAAAAAAACAAAAAAACAAATATTCATATTAACTTATTCAGGTATTATTTTCATCCCATATGAATTTTTGTCTCCTGGTCACACTAGATTTATTTTATTTTATTGGTGAATCACTAAATCAATCTAAAAGTATTATCAGCACAAAGAACTCATCACCATAGTTCATTAAAAACAGATTTATATAGTAATACAGATTAATAATAATAACTGTAAGTTCTTTACCCTAAAAATTTCTGGATAGTCTAATCTGGATACCAATACCAGGCTTTTGGGGGCAAACACTTCTGCAGGCTGAATTAAACCAGATACTTCTCCTTTGATCTCTTCTTTCTTTGTGCCCTAGAAAAATTGACACTACAATCAACGTACAATTTCACAAAAGACATTCAAACCATACACTTTCCAGATAATTTATGAGAATCTCAAGCTAATTATATTATTTATAAACATTAGGTCAAAAAAAAAAGAGTAAGGAATACTTGTTTCGTTTTTTTAAAGCTCCTTAGGCTACAAAGATGCACACCAACTAAGTATTTTATTTCTTAAATATGAAAGGCAAATAAGACATGCTGAAATTAAAGTAATTTTAAGTAATAGATCAAACAAGTAAAAATGATACTTATTTAATGGAGTCAGTCTTCAAAAGAAGAAAAAAATCTATAGAAATAAGGCACTGACTTTTATATGTTTTTCTGCTTGGCCCAAGCTTTCTTTTCTGTGAGGACTCTAAGGCTTGTGTTCACTCAGTGTTCTTGAAGTAAACTTCTGCTCATATGTGACAATGATGGTTATTGTGACAAGAAAGAACATTTCTATACCCAAAGAAAAGTTTCACAGCATAATTAATACCATGGAAATGTATGTTTAATAATAATTAAAAAACGGTAATTTTAGGCAAATTTTACCACAATACAAAAGAAAGTCTTTCAAACAACTAAATATTGGTCTTTTTCAAACAACTAAATATTGGTTAACAAGCCTAGAGAGATATTATTGGTTGCGTCCACAAGTAATTCATAATACACAGTTACTGTTTGACAATACTCTAAAAACAAAAACTTCTTAAAACTAAAAGTTTTTAAAAGGGCGGGAGAACAAGGTAATGAATTCAGATTTGTTTCTAGATATTCTTAAATTCCAGGATTTCTCCCCCAACTAAAACCCCTTTTCTTCCTTTTACAGTAATCAAGGTTATAGCTCAAAACTAATTTTCCTCCCTGAAGCCTTTCTATCCTGACCTTTCTCTTATTTTCTAATGTGGCTCACCAATATATCAGACTTGCTTACACTTACTCTTATGGCCGACTTCTCCCCAAATGCCACAAAATGCTGTATCAAGTTGCCTACCTGACATCTCTACTTAATGACAATAACAATCACATTCTTTCTAAACACCATTGCTCTACAATGGTTCGCGTCTATTAACGGCAATCCCAAAATTGATTCCTCTCTCATAAATAGCTCATGTCCACCTGTCAAAATACATGATTTCCCAGTCCCCATTGCTATTACAACACTGAGCCAGTATCTTGTTCAGATGATTACAACAGCCTCCTTTCATCCCCTACATTCTACTTTAGCCCTGGTTGCCCTCTCTGCCACTCTTCAGACACATAGGCCATGTCCCTCCCTTCTACCAGTCTAGAGACTGGCCTATTGTTCCTTTGCCTGGAATGCTCTTTCCACAGACAGCCTAAAGTCTGTTCCTATGTCTCATCTCCTTTAGATCTTCACTCAGGCATTTCCTTCCTGCTCTCATAGTCTTTGTTGACCACTGTACTTGAAACCAGTCCTAACACCTCCTCACCCTTTTTCCTTGCCTTATTTTTCTCCAGGCTCTCGTCACTATCCAACATGTTATCCATTTTATTAATCTTGGCTTTTTGTTTGTCTGTTTCTTTCCCTAGACTATGCTACTTAAAGGTCAGAATTTGTTTTGTTCAATGACAATCTTCTAGTTCCTAAAATAAGGCTGGGGCACATGGCTGTTATCTAATATTTGTTCACTAGAGAAATTCAGGAATAAATTTTCTTACAATGGTTTTCTGGATATTTTTACCAAGGGAAGACTTTTTCCCAATTCCCTTTAGTGCCTGTTTAATTTCTAGTATAGTGCAATATAACTAAGAATTAGTTGCCCAAGGAATGTACACATCCAAAGGGAACTATCTCAATATATGATAAAGTCATATGCTTTTGAAAGATTTTCACTTGCTACAAAGGAAAAAAAATCAAAATTAGGCTGGTTGGTTTCTGTAATCCTTTAAAATAATAAAAACATTATGGTTACTAATTTAGCAAAATTTCCGCACCTAATGAATCATATTCTTCATGGATTACTAACCAATTCAAAATGACAAAAAAAAAAAAAAAAAAAAAAGACTGAAATTCCTGGAAGAGATAAACCTATCCACATTTTTAGAAAACTGTGATAATTGCCCTAGAGTGTCATTAAAAGACTTAAGTAGATAGTCATTTCAAATAAACGGCATTAGCTTACTCTGAACAAAATACAAATTAAATGCAGTCACGATTTCTTGAATCTGTTCTTTAGTTAAATACTCAGTAAAAGGATAATTAACAAGAAAAATGGCTCAATATAATATAAATCAGCACTAAGTAAAAATAACTTCATTTTTATTTACACTGCTTTTTATTACAGATGTTGGTTTTACTGTGTAAATCCTAAAATGCTATTATCCTTAATTCTAATATTTCCCCTCTAAGAGCTTTTGTGTTCCAAAGGCTGGGGATGAATGAAGCTCATTAGTGAGCACTTGTCTAGCATTACAAGGATCTAGGCTTAATTCCTAATAACTACTGTGTGAGAGTGTGTGCATGCACGCACACGTGCATAAAAGTGTAATATAGGCAAAATGTACATATAAAGTTGTTAGGTAAAATAAAGTTTGTTCTAAGGCAAAGGATTATGATGTTTTCAATAAATAATTTATTGGGCCAAGGAGATAATAATTTATCAGTTTGTGGCTAGACTATCTTTATGTAATAATTATACAATGACACTAGCTTTTATGTTTGTTTTTATTGTTGTTGTGTTTTGTTTTGCTTTGTTTTGCTAGAGTCTCATCCTAGTCTAGTCTAGCATGAAATTCACTATGAACCCTAAGTAGCCTTGAGCTAATGGTCATCCCCTGCCTTAAGCTTCTTGAGTGCTGAGATTACAGGTATGAACAACCATGTCCAGCTCAACTCCCATATTTTACAAACGACAAATTTTCATATACTGGAAAGATGTGAGAAACTTAAAAATAAGCAGTTAATTAAACGAATTTTAGTGATTTTATGAAGCTTTGAAATGTAGTATTTTATAATACGAAACGTTCTCATGCTACCTATCTATCTCAACGCTATTTGTAAATCTTCTAACCTAAAATGTTTTCTTATTTTCAGTATGCCTGTTAAAGTTATACATTTACCTTAAATGCCATTTGCTGAATTTTCTCACACTGACTTGGATTATCAGTATCATAATCACATGCCACACGTCCATTATTATTTTTATATGCTGGTTATTACAATGAGCTACATCCATGTGTGAGATTCAGCACTTCTGTGCAGTTCCTAGTATGTAGCTGATACTTCCCAAGCTTCAGCATGGGTTAAATTAACATGTACTATGCAAGTCTGCCATCAAAGTGCTATTGTCCTTCACATATATTGAAATACAATGCTAGGCTTGTTTTATATGATGACTTCATGTAACAGAGAGGCACTAGGATGCTCATCTTAGTGTTCAGGTGGAACACTTCAGACTCAAACCAACTTCAGGATGTTTGTTGCATCCCGAGGCTTGATTTTCACATAAAAGCATGAAACATCTTCTCTGTATAATGTTCATTTCTAACAATATGACATTATACTAAAAAATCTCCCCAAATTTCCTTAAACATTGTTTTTTTTTAAAGGATCAAAAGAATTTACCCACCCAAAAGTCTACAAAAAGTGAAAAAAAAAAAACCAGCTCTACATTTCCTTTCTGAAATGTATTTTATTACCAAGGACCATTACATTGGACTGCTTCAATAAAATAAGTACTTTAAACTTTCCAGAATTGGAAATAGAGGAGTCTAAGTAGTTGCAAAATTCTTTATGCTCTAAAATTTCTCCTGAAAAGCTTCCTCATTTCCTGCCAAATGATTTTTTAATCACAATGGCATGCTCACATGGTACAAACCTGCTCTATCCGGCACTGGCCTGGAAAATACTGGGTTCAGAATAAATATAGACTTCAGGAATTGAGTTTACCTGTGGCAAAGGCAATATACTGAAGACTTGTCCCTTTGATAACACAGCTCCTAGGCTCTCCAAAAAGGCAGGGCAAATCCAATTGAAGGGATGCTACCTATTCACCCAGAAAGCTTCCTTCTATTTTTTATTTTTAATATATACTTACAAAGCAGTATTTTCAAGTGTTTCCTCCTAAAAGCTGATAGACTGATTACATAGCAAAAAGGTCTTTTAACCAAACAATCTTGGAAACAATAAATTAAGTCAAATTTTAAAAAATGTCTTTGTAACAGGATATCACAGGCTTTAATAGGCAAATATTCACGCAATCCCAAGCACAGGAGGCCCAGTACACAACAGATCACAATTATACTGGATCTCATAATTCCAGACTTCACAACCTATGGAACACAAGTCTAGAGAAGGCTGCCATAAACTACACTAGCACACAAAATGTGCGAAACACTCTACATATGTTCTCTACTTTTAGATGGCTGGGTGAGTAAAATGCTTATAAATTGATGCTCTTGTTGAGGTGTTCCATTAATTCAAATACTTCACGAGGATAAGATCTGAACAGAAAGGGTGTCCTTGCATTTTTACTAGGTGAGGGAGGCACTTCTGCTCTTGATCAATGGTTCTCAAACTTGAGTGTGCATCAGAGTCACTCCTGGGAGCTTATTTAAAAAAAGATTTCAGGCCAGTCATCCTGGTGCACGCCTTTAATCCTAACACTTGGGAGGTAGAGGCAGGTAGATCTCTGAGTTCAAGGCTAGCCTGGTCTACAGATGAGTTGTAGGCCAGCCAGGGCTACACAGTGAGACCCTGTCCTTCACCACGGTTAAAAAATGTTTTTTTCCAGGTTCCACTACAGATTTTTCTCATTTAGTAGGTCTGAATCGGAGCGTGACAATTTACACTTCTAACAAGTTTCCCAGAGATCCTGGGCCTCACCATCGAGGAACCACTATTTGAATGACTGCTTTAGACTATTATAAGAATATAAAACAAAACCAAAACAGCTAATATTGCTTTTGTATGCCAGAGGACATGCTAGGTTTTACAAAAGTGCTAATAATTAATTTGTACAA